AAACCATGGCCTGGACTATACGCACTTTTGTTGGCAGGCTGATGTCTCTGCTTTCTAGTATGCTGCCTAGATTTGCCATAGCTTTCCTCCCCAGGAGCAAGCGTCTTTTAATTTCTCGGTTGCAGTCCCCATCTGAGGCGATCTTGGAGCCCAGAAAAATAAATCTGTCACTACCTCCATTTCTTCCCCATCTATTTGCCAGGAATTGAGAGGGCCGGATGCCATGATTTTGGTTTTCTTAATGTTGAGTTTCAAGCCAACTTTTGCACTCTCCTTCTTACCCGCATCAAGAGGCTCTTTAGTTCCTCTTCACTTTCTGCCATTAGATGGTATCATCTGCATATCTTAGGTTGTTGATATTTCTCCCAGCAATCTTAATTCCAACTTTTGTTTCATCCAGCCCTGCCTTTCTCATGATGTGCTCTGCATATAAGTTAAATAGGCAGGGCGACAGTATACAACAGCCTTGCCGGACTCCTTTTTCAATTTTGGACCAATCAGTGGTTCCTTTCCAGTTCTCACTGTTGCTTCTTGACCCGCATATAGGTTTCTCAAGAGACAATGAGATGTCCCTGGTCTCCCATACTCTTTAAGAACTTGCACAATTTGTTGTGATCCACAACAATCAAAGGCTTTAGCATAATCAATGAAGCAGAAGTAATGTTTTTCTGGAACTCCCTAGCTTTCTCCATGATCCAGCGTATGTTGGCAATTTGATCTCTAGTTCCTCTGCCTCTTCGAAATCCTGCCTGTACTTCTGGTAGTTCTCGATCCACATACTGCTGGAGTCTAGCTTGTAGGATTTTAAGCATAACTTTACTAGCATGTGAAATGAGTGCAATGGTGCGATAGTTTGATCATTCTTTGGCATTGCCTTTCTTTGGAATTGGAATGTAAACTGACCTTTTCCAATCCTGTGGCCACTGTTGAGTTTTCCAAATTTGCTGGCAAATTGAGTGTAGCACTTTTACTGCATCGTCTTTTAAGATTTTGAATAGCTCAGCTGGAATACTGTCACCTCCACTAGCTTTGTTGTTGCTCAGATTTTCTAAGGCCCATTTCACTTCACATTCTAGGATGTCTGGTTCGAGGTCAATGACCATCTCATTGTGGTTATCTGGGATGTTAAGCTCCTTCTTGTATAGTTCTTCTGTGTAGTTTTGCCATCTCTTCTTAATCTCTTCTGCCTCTGTTAGGTCTCTGCCATTTTGGTCCTTTATCATGCCCATCTTTGCATGAAACGTTCCCTTCATATCTCCAATTTTCTTGAAGAGATCTCTGGTCCTCCCTATTCTGTTGTTTTCTTCTATTTCTTTGCACTGTTCATTTAAGAAGGCATTCTTATCTCTTCTAGCTACTCTCTGGAATTCTGCATTCAATTGGGTGTATCTTTCTCTTTCTCCCTTGCCTTTCGCTTCCCTTCTTTCCTCAGCTATTTGCAAAGCTTCCTCAGACAGCCATTTTGCTTTCTTGCATTTCTTTTTCTTTGGGATGGTTTTAGTTGCTACCTCTTGTACAATGTTGCGAACTTCCATCCATAGTTCTTCAGGCACTCTGTCTATCAGATCCAGTTCCTTAAATCTATTTGTCACCTCTACTGTATATTCATCAGGAATATGATTTAGTTCATACCTGAGTGGCCTAGTGCTTTTCCCTACTTTTTTCAATTTAAGCCTAAACTTTGCAACGAGAAGCTCATAATCTGAGCCACAGTCAGCTCCTGGTCTTGTTTTTACTGACTGTATACAGCTTCTCCATCTTTGCTGCAGAGCACATAGTCAATCTGATTTCTATGTTGACCGTCTGGTGATGTCCATGTGTAGAGCCGTCTCTTGGGTTGTTGGAAAAGAGTGTTTGTTATGACCATCCTATTCTCTTGAGAAAATTCTATTAGCCTGTGCCCTGCTTCATTTTGTACTCCAAGGCCAAACTTGCCTGTTATTCCGGTTATTTTTTGGCTTCCTACCTTAGCATTCCAATCCCCCATGATGATAAGGACATCATTTTTTGGTGTTAATTCTATAAGGTGCTGTAGGGCTTCATAAAACTGGTCAATTTCATCCTCTTCAGCACCAGTGGTTGGGCATAGATTTGGACTATTGTGATATTGAATGGTTTGCCTTGGATTCGAATTGAGATCATTCTGTCATTTTGGGGATTGTATCCCAGTATTGCTCTTCCTATTCTTTTATTGACTATGAAGGCTACTCCATTTCTTCTGAGGGATTCTTGCCCACAGTAGTATACCTGATGGTCATCTGAGTTAAATTCATCCATTCCTGTCCATTTTAGTTCGCTGATTCCTAAGATGTCGATGTTCAGTCTTGTCATCTCTTTTTTGACTAAGTCTAGCTTGCCTTGATTCATGGATCTTACATTCCAAGTTCCTATGGAGAAAAAATCTTTACAGCATTGGACTTTCCTTTCACCACCAGATATATCCACAGCTGAGCGTCCTTTCGGCTTTGGCCCAGTCGCTTCATTCTTTCTGGCGCTACTAGTACTAGCCCTCTGCTCTTCCCCCGTAGCATATTGGACACCTTCCGACCTGAGGGGCTCATCTTCCAGCGTCATATCTTTTTTCCTTTTAGTACTGTCCATAGGGTTTTCATGGCAAAGATACTGGAGTGGTTTGCCATTTCCTTTTCCAGTGGATCACATTTTGTCAGAACTCTCTGCTATAACCTGTCCATCTTGGGTGGCCCTGCACGGCATAGCTTATAGCTTCATTGAGTTAGGCAAGCCCCTTCGCCACGACAAGGCAGTAATCCATAAAGAGTATTCTGTAAATAGCAATTTATAATAAGCTTGTGGTCTGTACGAGGTTATTGATTGAAAAATACTTGGTTTTCAGAGAAGATAACATTATGTAGTAAGCTTAATAAATATATATGAGTTAAATCTTTATAGGTAAGTTCCTAGTATATTAAAATTATAAATTTAATATAATAGTAGTTTGGGCAGCTCTAGATTTGTTCTGCGTTTTGATAATTAAATAGGACCTGATTTGTAAGCTTAGTTATGTCAACCTGCAGTTCTTTTAAGTTTATGTGTTAGAATTATGTCATCCACACAACTTCATTTCCAAGAAATGTTAGAATAAAAAACTCTGTTAATTGGTAAAACTATTTTGATAACTTTCACAGGGTGCACTGGCCTGGAAGAGCTGATTGGGATTGATCCGTCCTTTGAGATATTTGAGACAACCCTTTTCAGTCAAATATCTAAAGGTTTGGAACGCAGTGTCCAAACTAAAGCAGTAAACCAGCAGCTAGATCAAAATATTTCATTGTTCCTGATTCACTTGTCTCCATATTTCATGCTTAAGCCAGCACAGAAGTGCCTTGAGTGGCTGATTCACAGGTAATTTATTCATGCTTCTCTGATATCTTACTGCTTGTTGCGTGGACGTCCATAGATTCAAGCCTCTCAGAGCATTCCCAGGGTATGTTGATTTAGGAAATAGTACTGGGAACCACTGTAAACACCTATTATGTATGGCCCAGTTTTTGGATTTGGTGATATTTCATCATGAGTGTAGTTAAGAATAGCATTTCCTTTCTCCATCAAGCCAAACTGGTTCCAAAGTATTTTTCTCCTCATGTTTTTTTCTTCTTTTCTAATCTTCCCATTCCTATTTATTAAATTGAAATGTTCTTGCACATCATATACTCTGTGTTTCTCACCAACGACTTTACCTATCCTCCTAGTTTTAATTCTCACGAGGCAAGTGGCCTCTACTCACCAAGTTCTCTTAAATTAAAAAAAAAAAACCCAGCCCATCAGGGCTCCAGAACTATTTTAAAGGATTTTAAGGAGAAAAATACCAGTGCAAAGATGAAGGTTTAGCAGTTCAGTATCATAGATTATATCATATTAGGTCCATAATTATCTAACATCATAACCTCTTTATCTAATTGTGTGTTCTGATGTAGGTTTCATATTCATTTGTATAATCAAGACAGTTTGATTGGCTGTGTATTGCCCTACCATGAGACAAAGTTGTTTGTGCGAGTTATTCAACTTTTAAAAATTAGCGACTCAACTCATAAATGGCATTGGTTGCATCCAATTCAGGTAAAGTAGTGAAAGGCAATATATGAAGTCACCTATATATAATGCTGTTGCGCATTATATAGTATTTCTGTGAAGCATTTGTACTTGTGTGCCTGTCTCTTTTGTTTATTAGATATTTTTCCTTAAATACAAAGTATACTACAACAAATCAATTTGAAATCTATTGATTTGGATCATTGTTCTTATAGATACTTTCTTGTTTTGTTTTCTGCTTTATAAATCTTTTTTATGTTCAATGTTTTATGATTGCTGACCATTCAATTGACAGTTTTTCAAGTAAAAATATTCCCACTTATATTTTTAATTTGTGACTGAATTATTTATTAGTAATCATTATTACTGTGTTTTAACAGATCATAGCAGCATACTATATATGCTGAGACATATCACTCTGTAAAATAAAAAATTTAGGACAGTTATTTGAGATAGGGTACCCAGTGATCTTCATTGCTGGCACTTTGAATCTGAGGTTTCTTTAAACTAATTTTTGGATTTTCTGTCTCCTGATACGTATTGTACATTTATACGTGAAGTAAAATGTGTAAGTAAATACTTTTGGAATAATATGTATAAATACAAGCTATTAGTTCCAATTTCATATAAAAAGCATAGGATTGTTTCTGAGTATATGAATGTATGGGTAAAAGCATAGAAAAAATAACTTTGGTTTGGAAAATATATGTGCTTAAATTAACTTTGAATTTCTGAATTAAATATCATGAGCTGTATCTCTGTTTTTAAAATTGATTATCTAGTTCAGTTTAGCAACTTCAAGATATGTGGACTTCAACTCCCAGAATTCTCCAACATATGCTGAGTGGGGAATTCTGGGATCTGAAGACTTGCACATCTGAAAGATGCTAAGGTTGAGGAACATATTTATTTATCTTTCTTCTTTTTGGCTCTCACACTCTCATAGAAACCAGGAGTCCCTCTTGCACGAGGAACTTTGATTACACACTGCCACAAAGATTTGGGTTTCATGGATTTCCTATGCAACCTAGTGACTAAATCTGTAAAGGTTGGTGAACTGTTCCAGTGCACTGCCAGTGTGATAGTCAGTCTCTGTCTCTGTGTGTCTCTCTGTGTGTCTGTGTCTGTCTGTTTGTCTGTCTCTCTTCCTCTCTCTCTCTCTCTCACTCTCTCTCTCTCTCTCTCTCTCTCTCTCTCTCTCTCTCTCTCTCTCTCTCTCTCTCTCTCACATACGCACACACACACACAACACACACACACAATTAGGACACAGAAATTAATTGAGTAGCCATCCTGAAAATTATTAAATTGTCAAACTACAGACATATTTAGCCAGGCCAGCATGATTTTTTTCTCTCCTACATGAGGTTATTTCTCTTTTGAATTCCTAACTTTAAACACAGAAGTAGTATTCATCATTCAAACATGCAGTAATATTGCCTGTATGTATTCATATTCCACCGGGTACAATTCTGTACTGCCTCACCTTGTACTTCTTATGGGACCTATATACAACTCATCATTTCCCTTACTCATGTGATTGTTGATTAGATTTTTATCTTGCCTGTATAGGAGCTCAAGGTGGCATTCATAGTGTATCCTCTTCCCATTTTCCCCACAGAAAATAGATAGAGTAGCTGAGAGAGTAGCTGGTCCAAGTCACCTAATAAGCTTCCACAGCTAAGAGTAGACTTCAACTTGCATTTTTTATGCTCCATTATGTTTACCATCACATCACACTGGTGGATGAACTCAGTGTGTGAATAGAGAAAAGTTATTGTGCTTATAAAAATAATGTATGGTTTGACCTTCCTTCCTTCCTTCCTTTCTTCCTTCCTTCCCTTCTTCCTTCCTTCCTTCCTATCTCCCTCCCTCGCCACTATTTACACTATCCCTATTCCAAATTTATGTTTTCTTTTTTCCAGGTCTTTTCACAATACCCAGGGAGTTCATCACAGATGAGAGTCCTGCTGACTTTTTATGCTTCTACAATTGTGTCTGCTCTTGGGGCCATAGCAAATGTCACAGACACCCTTGTCTCCAGATTGCTTCCATATATCCAAAAGGTACCTGATCATCAACTTTCCTTGCAACAGTTAATCTTTCTCTTTCAGTTGCTACAGGACATTTTTGGGAATGAGAACAAATGAATGCTGGGCATGAGGGAAAGGACTGTTGAAGTTTCCATAGCTTGCAGAAGATGCACTATGACATGAAATTGAACATCTGATTTGATCAATAATCTTTATTAACTGTTACTAGTGTCAACGCTGCTAACATTGGATGTTTTTGCTTTGACAAGTTAGAGATGCAACCATTTTCTTCTTTTGTTTTACTTTTAGTGTTAGATGATGCTAGGGGGTGGGAGGAATGTGCATGAGAGTTTAGACAGACATAATAATACTGGACTTTGTGTGGGGCTGGAGAAATGGAGGGAGAGCCTGCATTTCAAACTAATTGGAGAATGTAATTTATGACTGTTAATTGGAGGAGGGAATTGTGCTTTGATATTATGTGCTCAGGGGAGGGGAATCCAGTTTTTGGCTTAGATTGTGTTAGTGCCAATGCTATGCTACTCAAATAAAGAATCTTTAAGGTAAACAATGCCTCAAAGTTCGTTGAAGAGTTCCATCTGTGGGAACCATGACAACTAGTTTCCTATAAATATTTTATATTTTCCTCATATTTGAATTGCATATGCTTATATAATACAATCTCAGAGGAGAAATTAAAAAATTTAATTACAAGTTATACGTTTTTCAATTTTTAATTTTGAACCATCAAAGTGATAACAATTAGTGTATTTGAGGTTGTTTCTATTGACAGTTTCAATTCCAATTTCTATTTCTTTATGTCCTGCATTTCTCATTATATATTCTGCGTATAAGTTAAATAAAGTGAGACAGTGCAATCTAGGTGTATTTACCAATTTTGAACATGTTAGTTAGTCCCGTAGTCTATATTAATTTGCTATTTTGGTCTATACTCCAGAGGTTTTCTATAACCAATAAGCAAAGATAGATGTATTTTTGAAAATCCTGGGTCTTCCCTATTATCTAGTGCTATTTGTATAGATCTAAATCTTTTATGACATGCTATGCAATATTACTTTCAAAGACCTTATACTTAAACTACCAAACATACTTTTGCTCCTTTTCCTCACTATAGGGTTTGAAATCATCCTTGGTGGATTTCAGAGCTGCAACATATATGATCATCTGTCAGTTAACTGTAAGGGTAACAATGGAACAATCACTGGTTCGTTCGTTGATGTTACTGATTAGTAAGACTTTGACCAAGATACCCTCTCTTGTCAAAGATGGGCTATGCTGCTTGATTGTCCTTCTACAGAGCCAGAAGGAAGAAGGACTTGGAGAAAAGTAAGGCAAATGAGTGTATTTTGTGTGGGTGGGGGGGAATGTGTTTTTCTGTCATCAGCAAAGTGAAATAGTTTTTTAAAAAAAACTGTATTTGGTGCAATTTATTGTTCTGTGCTTGCATTCTTTGATTAACATGCAGTTAGTTTTCTCTATTAGTGGGGATTACAGATAAAATCAAAAAGTAAATTATGGATATATCTGAGGTTTGACACTAAGATATTTAATAGAAAATTCAGCTTTTGGTTTACTTAAAATGCATTTCATTACTGAATTTATGGAAGCATTTTCATATTTGTAAACTTTACTCTAGAAACAAGTCTTTAAGATACCTTGGGGTATTTGTGGAAGGGCACATTCCTTAACATCAGGGATTTCCTCTTTTAAGGGATCATGTTGACAATTTCCTGCTGTTCTAGGAGGTCCCATTAACTACTTTGTGTTCTTATGCAGACCATATGTTCATCTGTGTAATATACCCAATCTGATTGCTACTCTTCATGAAATTTCATCAGCTCACGATGTCAGTCCAATTTTACATTATCTCCTGCCCCACTTAGTTCATTCAGTTATTTATGGAAAAGCAGGTATGTTCATCTGTGCTCTGTCTTTTCACTTATATATCATTTCATTGTATACATAACAAATATAAAACCATGCATGGCATGGAGAAAGAAGACAAAGAGGCATTTTTCTCCATCTCTCAAAACACTAAGACTGAAACTCACTGAGAGACTTAATATAAGCAGAAGAAAGCTGTAGATAATTAACTTCTGGAATTTATTACCATAAGTGGTAACACAGTGATAGCCCCTCACCCAGATGGCTTTAAAAAGAAATTGGCCAAATTCACGGAGGAATTCTTGTTTTGTAGATTCAGTGTTAATTTCAAGTTGAAGGCTGTATCTTCAAAATATCAGTTGCAGGTAAATGGGAGAGTGATAGTGATATGTCTCTGATTTCTGCTGGCAAGAATTCTAGAGCCATCCGGTTAGTCATACTGAGCCACAAAATGCTGGATGAGCCTTGGCCTGATCCAACAGGACTGTAGTGGTGTTCTTAGGTTCTGTTAACGAGATTTTGCTCCTTTTAGAAACATGATTCTTTGAATCAGTCAGAACAAAGTAAGGGGCTTGTTGGCGTTATAGCACCCGACTTCAAATAACACAGGAAAGAAAGAGTTACATTTTGCTGTCCTAAATGATAAACACTGGGGATGGTTGAATCAGAATGTTTCAGAGACAGTCATTATTTCTTTATGGCATGTACTTGTTTTCAGAGATGGAAGAAGGATCCAACACAATTGATAATCAAATCTACATTAAACAACTGGAAGCTATACTTACAACTATACCACTAGAAAAAGATTTGGATCATTTATTGGCCTGGTAAGCTGCAGTCTTTTAATAAGTCATGATTTCATATCTCCAGGTTTTATGTCACAATGGAATTTGTCAGGTATACTGTAGGATTCTATTAGTTAAGTGTTGTAGACCAGTATTTCCTTTTTTACCCCCCTCTCGGGACCAATTCTTACTTCTAAAAATTATTGGGGAGGTGGGGCTTTTGTTTATATATGCAAGTAGTCCTTGTTTGGTGACCACAGTTGAGACAGACAGAGGTCATTAAGTGGGAAATCGTATGACCGTGACCATGATTTTCTTTTCCCACTCCTCCACCCTTTGTAATGTTCAGCTAGTACTGGGATAGCTGGCTTGCAGCTGCTAGCTATAACTGACAAAATTAACTACATTTACATTCCAGTCAAAAGAGACAATGAAAAAGCTAAGAGGGAAACAGATGGGAACACATTCTCTCCAGGGAACAACACCTAGATAAACAGGAATTAACACTACACAATCTAACAAAATACCCTAATCAAGGAATTACCAAGGAGTGAACTACACACCCCTTCACCATTGGTAGGGCAACTACTGTACATAAACAGCGAGCAAACCCCACATTCAACTAGCATTGATGATGTTATCCAGTTGGATACTGAAATGTCCGCAAGCAGACAACCAAGTTCAGAGAGCACCAAGGAGTCCATAGTTTAGCCCTGAGCTATAGATAATCTCTTCTGTTGGGCCTGTTCTGTTCCAAAATCTGTCACTTGGAAATTGGAAGCCTATTTTAATTTCAGCCTTTTTATGTGTTTATTATTATTTTGTTAAATAAAATTAGGTAAGACATATTTTGGTCATTGCTGGAAGGGTAGTGGTGATATGTAGATAGATAACGTTTGTGTACAGATTGGATACATAAACAAAAGCAGTATTTCATAAAATGTCTATAATATTAAGTTTTCACATTCTTTGAGGGAGTTGTGAAAAACAATATTAGTTCTCTGTAAAGAAATAATTATTTCCTTTTTTTTCCAATTTCAGTAAGTTTCTGGAGGATTATATTTCCTATGGTGTAAAGAGTGGTTCTGATCCTGCCAAAATAGCTGAAATTAATAAAGAGTTACTTCCTCTAATCAGACTTTTTGAAAGAAAGTAAGTAAAAAGATTTTATTCCACATTCTTACTAGGGATGGCAACAAAGTATTTATTCCTAGGCCAAATAAATCAAAATTAGCCTTTATTAAGATAATATTAAAAAGAGGTCAAAATATAGGTGAAGTCAACTAATTAATGTTTTATTCCCAAGTTATTTCAAGCCTGTTCGAGGGTACATATACTGCTGCTTCAACTTTCTTGGTCAAAACAGATTCTGCTCCATATGAAGAATGAATAGAATCTAGAAGTAGAAAGTCAAATCCAGGCTGACCCTCCACAGCAGCGGTTGTCCCGGTACAGCAAGTCTCACTACTTTCCTGATCCCTAAGTGCAAAGCCAAAGTCACATTGATTCCTCAGTTGTAATTTAAAATTTTTAATCTGCCTAGTTTTAATAGGTTAATATGTTTTAATGTTTATAACTCATAAATTGCCCTGAGTCACCCTATATAGAAGATGGGCATCATAAAAATTTAAATAATTTAATTTAATAAATTTAAATTAAATTTAATATATAACATAAATAATATCTGGCCTCAACTAACTCAAGTTGTTATGCTGGCCAAGGCAGGTTAAAAAAAACCTACAACTTTAGGGCAAGATGCAAGAGAGTCCTTTAGTCAAGTTGCATTATGTTCCATTCTCAAAAAAAATTCTGTGGAATTCTTGTTATAGTTTGCGCTCAAAAGTATTTTCCACATCCCCGTTATCTACCCATTTCAAAGCAAATCTCAGAAGTAAATCAAAGTAGGCCATGAAATTTGAATTTCAGTCATCTTATTCAGAAAAATAAAATAATTACACCTGAGTCTTCTATTTGCATTGTGAGCTACCCCATACCAATTTCAGTTCTAGTCTGATGAAAAAATTCTTAGAAGATACTAAGATGTTACTCTGCTGCTGAAAACCAGGTTTAGAATTTTTGTACTCAGACTTAACCGATTTCCATGTGTGACTCCAATTATGGAACATAACATTTGGTCTACCTTTTTACTGGGTTGTTGTTTAATATATGTTTTTTTGTTCTTAATGCCACACAAAGTCTCAGAAACTGGGCAGTAATCGGTGTAAATAAATATGTAAACAAATAAACAGTACAGTGAGAATCAGAAGATAGGGTCCAATCCCTTATATTTTTCTTCAGTTTATACATCTTCAATCATTTTTAATTTACTTTAAAATAAATAAATATCCTATTAAGAATTTCATGGTAACTTAACAACAGAAAATTGAAATATTGCATAGAAAAATGTTGAAAAAACTACAACTCAAAACTGATATTAAAATACTAGAAGTGTCTTATAGTAATAAATAATTCCAAACCAGCAAGTTAAAATTTATTCAGCACCAAACCATAACAATTATTAATAGCCTCACAGCTCTCCTAACCAGGAAGGTTTTAGAGCTTCAGAATTAGACTGTCACACAAACCTCTAAGGAATGAAGAAGTTTCTTTCAGTTTCTGTCAGCGCTTCTTTTTCTAGGTCAATCCTTTGCTTTCTGATCTCTTAAATCCATAAAACTGTCTACACTGAGTTTATTTTATTAATAGTCTGAAAGTAGATTTATCTTACCTGAAATATGTAATGTAAAGATTCTTGAAAATAACAATTAATAATGTGGCATCTTCAAGAATTCCACAAATGGCTTCTCTGGTTGCTGAGATCTTGTACAAGAAAGCTGACCTTGCAAAGTTTTGGTAGTCTTGTGTAAAATATGTGTTTGTTTATTTTTATCCCACCTTTAGTCTTTTTACAAATGACTCAAGACATTTATAAGGTATTAACAATTTCTCATGAAAAAGTGACTCTGGGTAGCATATACTAGGCATACAACATAACTATAAAACTATATATAAAGAACCATGCTTGGTTTTCCCAGAATATACCGTATGAATTGCTTTCTTTGCCTATCACAGGTACTCTAGAACACTAGATTTGGTACTGGAGAAATATCTGAAGAATGTCAAAAATCAGAAGGAGCAAGATCTTTTCCACCAATTTATTTCTCTTTCAGTGAGTGGTGGTAAATATCAGGTAAGTCAATCCTAAGATTGTATTGTTTAAGATTTCTTCTTTTTTAATTTGTTGACACTTTGGCATTAAGACCAGTTAGAGCATTTCATAAAACAATTAATCATAGACTTTTCTCTTAGCGATATTGACAAAAAGAAATGGCCTTGTGATACATTTAGAACAGTTTGTTGTCAAGTTGTGATGATGTGAACTTTTTTTTTAAAATGTAATCTGATGTCATAGAGATATAATGTCAATAGACCACGGGTGTCAAACTCGCCGCATCACGTGACGTGTCGTGACATATCGTGACTTTTTTTGCATTGCCAGAGCTGGGGTGGGCACGGCCTCTGCATGATGCAACTGGCCCATAGGCCGGGAATTTGACACCCCTGCAATAGACCATCTAGTTTGCATCTAAAGGCTATAAAAAGGCTGCTCTTAACTGCCTATAAATCACTGGTAGACAAAATTACCATCAAAAGTTTATCAATAATTGGCCACACCTTTGACACAGGATGCCAGTAAGAATCCTGGAGTTTGGCATGAATTGAATAAGTGCTCTGTAATCTACTGTCAGGTTTCAGCATTTAAACATGCTATATATGAATTGGAAAAGAAAGTTTAAAAAAACTTAAAGCAGTACATGGTCCATAAACCAATTTAAAATAGTTGGTTATATTTCCTGATTAATTTAAGGGAAACTCTGTTTGACTACTTTGTCTTGGTTCATATACAAAGAGAGTCAGTAGTAGAGAATATAGACTGACAGCAAATTACAGTATAGATAAACAATATATTTGCTGGGTTTTTTTTCCTGAAGTATGTCTTTGTGTTTATATGTATAGTAGTTGCACATTTATGAACAGAAAACGACTAAGAAATAAGCTCCCTGATCTTTCAGAGGAACAGAGTTAGGACTGCAGCCTGATTGATTATACCTTGTATTCCTAGTTTCTAGAAGATTCAAATACCTCCCTGCTCCTTAGTTTGAATCATTCACAGCCAGCAGTGAGAGTCCTGGCTGTTCAACATTTGAAAGAAATAATTGAAACATCAAAGGTTGGTTGTCCTTAATCTCTTTATTTGTTTCATATTTCTAATTTTTTCCTGAATGTTTAATATGCTTTCATTAAGCCAGCAAGTGCCTGTTTAATAGTAGTGAGAAAAAAATAGGGGTGTTTGCAGCAGGATTATCCAACTTTCATAAGTTTGAGGACCACACCAAGTTTTGCAAGTCATATTAAGAACTGCACTTGGGTAAGGTTGAGACATATTTTCGGATGAGTTTTTCAGATGTTTTAAGGAGTGAAATAGGTACCTTTAAAAGCAAGTGTAAGATTTAAAATTTCCATTTTGTCCCTCCAATTCTGAAAACAAAACAAAACAAAACAAAAACAAAAAGGACCCACACATTTTGCCCCTATCCACTCTGGAGTCACTCTTGAAGCAACATATGGCCTCCAAATTATCATTTTTGTACCTCTTCTTTATAATAATCTAAAGTAAATTCTCATTCCTTTTATATTGAATCTAAACTGTACATTCCATTGCATAGCTGTCTGTACAGCATTGTTACATTTCCACTATTTCATGTTGACTAAATAAAAGATGACCTTTTATAAACTTGAGCAATAATTGGAGTAGGTCACTACTACAAAAGTGGTAATGTCAGAAAAACCTCTGTCCTCATTTGTACTTTCCAGTTACCATGCGCTGTATATAATGTATATCTACAAAAGCAGAAATGAGAATCTAGGACAGTCTTCAGCTACCCTGTATAAGAAGGATTGACATTGCCTTATTTTTATGTATTTATTTTTATCCTGCCTTCATTATTTTTTAAAAAATAACTCAAGGCGATAAACATACCTAATACTCCCTACTTCTATTTTCCACACAACAACAACCCTATGAAGTAGGTTGGGCTGGGAGAGAATAACTGACTCAAAGTCACCTAGCCAGCTTTCATGGTTAAGATAAAACAAACTGGTTTCTAGCATGATGTCTTAACCATTAGACCAGTGGTTCTCAACCTGTGGGTCGGGACCCCATTTGGGGTCAAACGACCATTTCATGGGGGTCGCCAAACCACGCTGTCCACCATTTTTTTTCCTTTTCCCTAGCTGTCCTACTCCCTCTTATTGGTGGCCACACCCACTTGGGGGTCACCACAACATGGGGAACTGTATTATGGGGTCACGGCATTAGAAAGGTTGAGAATCACTGCATTAGACCAACTGGTTTATAAATGTTGCAACCATAACTCCTGTGATTCCCAGATTCATAATTTAATGCAATGTATAATTATTATTATTTAAATAAGTCTGTATGTAAACAAGTTGGATTTTTCCCAGAAATTGTGAATTCATGACATTACATTTTGATACCTTTTTAACGTTGGTTTCCTTCATGATTTTTATTTTTAGGAGGGCTTTGATGACTCTTTCATAGAAGAAGCAATTGTAGCACGACTAAAAGATGATAATTTAGGTGTGGTTATGTCATCTCTTCATACATTAGATGTAAGTCTTAATCCATTGGAAGATAAAAATATATGGTACTTTGAATTAGTCAACAATGAATTAGCTGTTGCATTGGTTAGAATTTCTTCCAGAAGCTTCAGTCACAACATTCCCTCCCATTTTATCCCCCTGAAGATGAGAGAGAGTGACTGTGATAGTGTCCATTGAGTTTCCATTGCTGAGGGCGGACTTGAACCTATGTCTCATTTAGGCCTGTTCCAATATTTTGATGACTGCACCACCCAGGCATGGCACCTGTCTAAAGAAGAATTACTAGGGTCCACCTATGGTAGCATGTTAAAGCAGATTCCCTGCTTCCCTTTGTTGACTGAAAATCTGTATTCTCTTACTTGGGAATTAATCCAATTTCAGTCAGAGGGAAATTTGAATATGTAGAATAGTGCTTTAAATTAATATTGCCTGAGACAAATCTGAGGAGGGAAAACTCGAAGCCAAGAAAACGGATCAGATATTCAACTTATTCTGGACAAGCAGGTTAGTTTCAATCTCACTAAGCTGTAACTGTATCATCAAAGTAAGATTTTTTTTTCTAGGAGACAGAAAAATCCTTAAGATGTGTAAAATCTAAAATAGAAACCAGAATCACTAAGTCTGTTTTGATAACTAGACTCATTCATGTTATATTTTAAAAACACTTTATTTTTTAAAAATACACATATTGTGAATATTTTTGGGTAGGATTCTGCATTATATTTCTCTATTTTATGTAATTTTGTGTATTGTTTGTTAATTTTATTTTAGAGTGCCTTGATTCGTTTGAATAAATTTGGTGAACAAATTGGACTCAGTCTGTTGTCTCTGTTTGAAAGAGCTGATCTCTTAAAGGATGAAAAATGGTAGGTGATAATTTTTACATCATTCGGTCTCAATTTTATATTAATAGTGGGAAATTTTTCCAAACCCAGTGCTGGGTTTTTTTTTTCAGATTATTAGATAAATAAATGCCATTTATTTTTTCACCTTGTAACTATGTTTGTAAGATAGTTGTCAATGTAATAATTATATTGTTTTATTCTGGCAGCAAATTCATTAAAGAATCTGTGTATGGAGGTAGTTAGTTACATATTCTTCTATTTACATAAGTTACATGGTTACATATTCTTCCATTTAATATGACCTGAGATTTATACATTTTTAAAAAATGATCTGAGATTTATGTTTTAGAGTAAAACGTTGCCTCAAAAAATGCAAAAATATACATAATAAACATATTAATATATTCAATGTTCAAAGAGATAAGGTGGCATTAAACAATGGTGGTTCCCTTGTGGCTAATTTTAAACACCATGAAAGAAAAGTAAATTATTAGTTTCTATTGCTGTCTTTGTACTGCAAGGGAAGGAAAAATATGTTAGATAGTCTATCCTGCTTCCAACATGACTTTGCCTTTAATATCAGGCTCCATCTAAAAGGGGAACATTGTCTCCTCTTTCACAGGCAGCACCATGAGTAATAGAAATATGTTTTGTTGTCGCAAAAGGTTCAATCATAACAAAATGTTAAAGTGTGTTTTACAGCGTGCAATCTTGGTTATGGAGTGTAATCTAAACATATCCATTCTTCTTCCTATATACTTGCTAGGTGCAAAATTCTAGAAATGGTATTATGCCTTTTAATGAAAGTAGATACTATTAAGGAAAATAAAGATCTCTTCAATCAGTTAGTCCTACAATTGCTACCTTTTCTGGTCATAACCAACAATGATTTAAAATCTGCTGAAGGGAGAGTGGCAGTTTGCATAACAGAGTCCGGTCTTTGTTCTCTTCATCCTTTGTTGAAAGGTTGGCCAAATGGTAAGTAATTGAATTCTTTCCTGAGGCAGAATTCTAGAAGTTGAAGTCCACAGGTCATAAAAGGGCCCTTGTTCCCCACTCCTGTCCTAACGGGAGGCTGAGTCACTGTAATTCTCTTTCTGTGTTATTTAAGAGTGTTTTTGTAAGAAAAAAAAATAGAAGCAAAAGTCAAAAAAGGCGACCTTTTGTTTCATATTTGTGATTGTGCAAGTTTGAAATTAAGCAGCAAAACAAAATCCAAATGACATGACTTTCCAGTGGTTGCTCACAGTGGATCATTCTGATCCAGAGATGCAATTCTCATTTGCTCAGGGGCTTCCTCTGACTTGTGGTATAGTGAAGACCACACTCCAAAATTGAATAGGTTTAGGAGTCAATAGTTGAGGGCTGGAATTCAGTCTTTTATCTGAGTAATCAGAATTGTGCAGGTAGTCCTTCACTTACGTCTATAATTGGGGCTTGGAATCTCAATCGTTGAGCGAAGTGATTGCTAAGTCAAAAGCCATGTGACCATTTATCTCAACGAACACAATCTGCCTCTCCCACTTGTGGCCTTTAAGTGACCATGCAGGTTATTAAGCGAAGCACTGGGAAGGGGGCTAACGTCTCCCATGTCTGGTGGGGCAGGGAAAGTGCTCCACCACACCCAGGAGACCTGGCTTTCTCTCCATCCACTGCAGAGAACAATCACGAAATGATGGCATTCGCTAGTATTTTTCCGTTCGAAGGGGCAGAGACAATGGTGTTCACTAAAATAAAACATTGCTCAAAGCAATGGCATTGATTAGCGTTTTTGCTAGATTTAAGGTCTGTTGTTCCAGTGTGCTGGAGTGCTTCTCCTCCATTTGCAACTTTCTGAGGAAAGTCAGAAATTAATTATACATGACGATCAGATGATCAAACAGTCCTTAGCATCAGGTCAAGCACCTGAAAAGCGGTCATGTGATGGGGGCAACTTTGTAAGATAGCGGGAAGCACTTTACAGGCCGTGAAGCACCCATTCTGAGGTTGTCGTGACTGCAAACAGTCATTAAACAACCAGTTACAAGTTGAAGGCTACCTATATTATCAATTTATGGGTAATGTTATTGAAACTTCTACATTTTAGGCACTTTTTCAATAAATAGTTATTCTGTGGTATCATTTTTTTGTTGTTGTTTGTGAGAAGAATGATACCCTCCATTTTTTCCATGAATGAACTTGAATGATTTTTTTCCATGAATGAACTTTAAAATCAAAGTACACATTCTTTTAAAACCTTTCCCTCTCTGTAGCCATCAGTGATTTCAAAAGGTTTAACCAGTCTCCCACTTCGATTTCCCATTCTGTTTTATGTTGTTATTTCCTGAAATAGTTTTCCAAGAGGTGATTAATTCAGCTAAGTCAGGAGACTTATCAGGCGCATCTAATGCCAGACTGCTGGACCTCTTGTCCAAGAACCTGATTTCAGAAGATTCTTCCTTCGTGTCAGAAATGGTATGTGTGGAGTTTACATGTCCTGCTTATAAAATTCTCGAATTCGCAGATCAGCAGTTTTAAATAAAGTATAAGAAACATAACAATAAAATCCAGCAGCCAGACGTTCTGTGTGGGTTACATCATGTTGGAGGATATTTCAAACAATGATACTCCAGTTTAGTAAGAAATGCATAATTTTCATATTTCATTGATGCAAAAGAACGTGCAAAATGAGTACACGTGAACCAAACCTTGAATCAGCTAGTTTGGTACATTCTGTTCTTAAAGTAGCACCTCTTGAGAGATTCGCTTTATAATCCAGCCAAGCTATAACGCTGCATTTATTTATTTATGAGACTTATATACCGCTTTAAGTGGAAGCACTCTCTAAGCGGTGTACACCAGTAAGCAATGTATGTATATATTTACATTGCCCCCAACAATCTGGGTCCTCATTTTACCTACTCCGGAAGGATGGAAGGCTGAGTCAACCTTGAGCCGGTGAGATTTGAACCGCTGACCTGCTGAACACAGTCAGCTAAAGTGGCCTGCAGTACTGCACTCTAATTGCTGTGCCACCTCGGCTCAATTGCTGATTGAAAAGAAACTTGAAAAAAGAACTGAACAGGTTTCTCTGCAAAGCATATGGTCACGTGATATGAACCCCTCTGCCTTTTTCCCTGAGAAGGGGTTTGTGGAAGTCTCCCAAGCAGACCGTGGTACAATTAAATCTTCTCACCCAGGTCCCCCAACAACTATTGTTCAGAATGGTGTTTTGTCGATTTCAAGCATTTAACTATATAGTCTTAAGATGGAAGGGTAGAGAGCATTATTTTGAGCAAGTAGCCCGTTGCTGCTGAAAACAAGCTCTCCTCTCTGAAAATTTCCTTTTCTAGATAAAGCCCTCTGAGGGAGATGGGTGGTTTAGAAGTGTGAAAAAGGAAAAAGAAAAGAAAAAACTATGAAGTGCTTGGTTGAACTTTTGGATTAAAGTTTCCTGTAATGGGGGAAAAGTTGTAGTTTTGTAGTAGAACACATTCCAGGATTAACTTTCAGATTGTTTTGAGCAGACCCATGCTCAAAACATGCTTGCCAAAATAGAGTACTGAATTACATTCTCCTACAATCTAACCTGGAATATAACAACTTTATGTGCTTACTTTATTTATTAAAGCCAATGTTTTCATACAGCCCATTTAAAAATAAAGATACAGAAAAGGTAAATGTTTGCAGAATGCTAGGCAGTTATGAGAATAATCCATTCCTCAAAAGAATAATGGAAACTGACTCTCTGTTGTTATTCTTGTTCAAGGTGGAAGGCTTCATCAATCTTATTGAAAAGGAATCTCCTACTGGAAAACAGAAGCTAACAGGCCACATTATAAGTTTTGTTCTTGTCCAGTCTTGTTGCAATTGTTCCCAAATGGGAGACTGTTATTTATTCCTGGCTTTAAGGATCTTCTATTTTTTGAATAAAAAAATGGACAGATTTAAAGACAACTGTTCTTCAGAGGAGGTGAGAACTTTTAATTTTAAAATAGCAGCTTCAATCAGAAATCTCTTTTTTACCCCTTCAACTCTTAGAATTGTGTATGTATACTGAGTTCAGTTCTGTTGATTTAGGAGAGATATTGCATGATATAAGCTTCCGGTAGGAAAAAGTGGCTCCTGCAATTTTCAAAACATGTTAAAGAGATGAGATGAAGTTAAAGGTGAGAAAGACAATTACAGGAAGTAGATTGTAGTGACAATCATAAAAAAAAAATAAGGAGCAAAGATACAATAAAATTGGTGAGCTTCCCATACTTAGTGATTTATGAAAGATTAGAAATATCTAAGGGCCAGTAAAGGTATTTGGTCCTCATGTTCCTTGACAATGCAGTAGCTCAGAATTCTTTTTCATCTTCAGAACAATTCTTCTGAGTTCCCATCTGGGAATGAATCTTTCCGGGACCTGTTATCAACGTATACAAAAAAATTAAACGCTCAGGCATCGGTTGACCTTGAAGATGCCATGCTGTTCCTCATTTTGTTGAGAAGTTTTATTGAAGGCCTGGTCTCTCCAAATTCCTTTTTGAAAGGTATGTTTTTTTTATTGCAGGAGAAGTTAGATTTGAAAAATCAACCATGCAGATACTTTTCTTGCTGAAGTAGTATTTGCTTGTATCTTGCAATTCTGAAACACAGAAATAATCAGCATCTCTCAATTTTAACCTGAATAAAGTGATTGCTATAATTTAGTTTGGTTTTGTGTAGTTTCAGAAAATGCTTTTGCTACAGTCCCTAATTGCCACTTCTTTGCATTTCTACAGATGAAGTCTGGTGGAATCCTGAAACTTTAAATTCAAACAGTAAAGATTATTTGCACTTGCTGTTGGGACTATTTGACGTTGTTATCAGAGGTGCAAGTGAGGGATTCTATGCTGGTCATTTTCGGGCACTGATGCGACTTCTGTTTGAGGTACATTTCGTACATAAACATAAATGTACAATCTTGACAAGAGAAAACCTCTGGCTATTATTCTGATGTACGCAGTTCTGAATAATTTATTTTGCTGAAATTTTACAGTGAGATTGTATTATGGGGTGTGTTGAAGTGAAATGAGGGTGTGTCTCTTTTCAAAGCCACCAAAAAAGGTAAATGGGCTCTCAAAAGAATTGTATATTAACCGCTTCCTTTTTATCATTATCTGAAGGCACATTTGAAAGGACCAGAGCATCAGTTTAGATTTCTCTCCATTTTATGGACTTACAACTACAACTTGTGCAATCAGCTAAACTTTGTGATGGATGCTGTGCTGCAAACTCGGGCATTGTACATAGGAAGTGTCATGCTCGAATCTCAATCTGAGCAGAAAAAAAGGCAGTTGGTGTCAACTGCATCTCCAGGTACCGGCTGATGGCCTTTGGGATATTTCCCTCTGGTTATTGTAGCATTAATCTATTGTAGCTTATAAACTGTCCAGAGAAATTAGGGGGGAAATCAGCACCAACTTCTTTCCTGTGTTTCAAGCTATCTACCCTTACAAGAAGTTTTAAGTTATTTGGAGAGAAATTTACTTTCATGTATTATTATATTGAGTTGGGGAGAGAGGGAGAATTATTTATTTTTTCTCCAGGACTTTGGCATTCTATTTTCAGGTTATAATCAGACTTAAATAAATAAAGCTTCTAACCATCTTTTAATTTACCGAGGTATCTCTGTAATTTTTACCATTTGGAAAAAATGGTAAGTCCAGACTGAAAAGATAGCAGAAACTTGCTCATAAAAATAAATAACTGCACAGGTTTTAAATTTTGAGGATTTTAACTGTTTCAAAGGGTTGTTAAGTGTTTGAATTAGAAAATAGAGAAGACCTTGGTGGGCTCAGCATTTTCAGGTCTGAGGATCTAAGTTCCTCATGGTGGCTGGGACAGTGTAGGCAGATTGCTTCTCTCCAGCAATTCAATAAAGTTGTTTCTCAGGATAGGAGTTTTCATTCTGCGTAGTTAATGAATCTAAGTTGATTTAGAACTTTGCTAAAGCAACAACTGTTGTCCCTCCTTGCACTTTCCAGTAATTGTATCTCTGTTGATCAATTTGGGAAGTCCTGTGAGTGAAGTCCGAAGAGCTTCCCTCAAGTGCCTCCATTCCTTAAGTGGAGTAGAAGAATCCACTTTTCATCCCATGCTTCAGAGTTTCACGAAGAAAGCTGAGGAAATAATGTCTGATTCAACTTACGTTATCCAGGTAAGCATAAGTGAAATTATGATGTTTTACCTGATGTGCATCTGCCATTTTCTATATTTGTGTCCTTCTGATGAATCACACCCTCAGAGCTCTTCTGGTGGCCTGTTGGGAGTCAGGACCATTGAAGCAAGTGTTGGATCAGAGACTAGGAAGCATTTTCTCCTCAGGAGCCCATCTTCTATTTCCTTTGAGAAGATGGTAAATTATCATGACCTGCGGGCCAAGATGAACAGATTATTTTGCCTTGTTGGCCTTTCATGCAATGAGCAATGGGGGATTGGAGGCATCCTCACTTAGGATCTGATCAGCGAACAGTCGTGCTCAGCATTGTCAACAATCTGATATTTTTGGCAGGAACTTTTTGAAGAGGTACTACAAATAGGATCAGAAAACTTTTTTACGCAGAACATCCTTTCTTCCACTGATCCATGGACTCTTCTTCCCAGTTGCCTCTCTTGCATGAGGTTCTCCACACAGCTGCAGTATTTCACACCCAACTGAATGGGATGCTAATCATATAGGCTTGTGCTTTGCCCTGCTTTTTTATTTTTGCAGGATTATACATTTTTGTTTTGATTTCCCGGGAAAGGGTTGTGAGAAAGCAGCTTTTATATGGCTCCAGGTGTGCTTTGAAACGCAGAGTAAATACCTCAAAGTTGTGACTGGTATTTGGGGGTTAAAAATGATAACTGATAGCAGCAGAAGATGCTACGGCAGATACAGAGCAAAAAGGTCCTGGCACAGGCCCACTCCTTTCATAGGGAGCCAGAAATTCATATCACTATGCTAAAGGACTGCTCATTTCTTTAGGTGGTATTTTTTGTTTTAGAGATACATATGCTCACTGATTGCAGTCCACTTTCAATTCCTTTGTCCTTCAGTTACAAATAAAGAAAAAAATAAATTACATTAATGACTTTTTGGTATCTTTTCCCCATTTTGTTTATAATCTAGGTTCTTGGTGATCTCTTTGGAGGAGAACCTACCCAACAGAAGCAAAAAGCCAAGCAGCAGAAATTGTCAGAAGCATTGACAGCATTACTTGAATGTGTCCAAGGCTTTAGATGTCCTTCCTATATTGCAAGAAACCTGATGAAAATTCTTCATAAAGTCAATGGCAGTGTGGGTGAAATACATGGTGTTAACACTGGGAAAATACCCTGATCAAGCCAGATTTTTGTGTTGTTTTTCTGCAGAGTGAAACCTCATTTATATCTTAGTTTTGTTATATTAACAAAATAGAACTTTTTCTATCCCTTTTTATTTGCATAAGACTTAAAATGCGGAGACATATAGAAGGGCTTCAAATTGCCACTTGGATAGTTGTATTGTTGTCACCAGAAATACCTTTAGTGCAAAAAAGAAGGTAACCAATGCTATCCAGGCTGATTGTATGGCAACTCACAATCTCTGACTATCAGCCATGTTGTCTGGTAGGAATTAAAACCCAGAATTTCTAGAAGACATCAAGTTTCATATACCGTGTTTCCCCAAAATAAGACCTATCCCGAAAATAAGACCTAGCTTGATTTTTATATGTGCACCTAATGTAACCCCTACTCCCAAAATAAGCCCTAGTTAAGACCCCACCCATCCTGCCCCATGTTCTGGTTGTATGAGGTGGGGCAAGGTGCACACGTAAAAATCATGAGGGGGGGGTGCACACTCTGCACCTACTTACTTTAGAACCACCACAGCCAGGCCTCCCAGGCCCCGACACCTATTGCGCCACTGCCTGGCTTCTTTTGTGGCCACTTATGGCCGGACGCCATCTGGCACATTGCGCCAGTGCTTACCACTTGGAGGCAAAAAAATAAAAATATAAGACCGGGTGTTATTTTGGGGGAAATGGTATCTGCTATAAAAGGAGGTCTTTCCAGAATGAGACACTTTCTTAAAAAAGAATCAGCTGGTTGTCATATATACCAAGTCTGCAGAGGCTCTTAGGACAGGGCTTTTCAACCAGTGGTATGGGTACCACCTGTGGTACATTGGCACCTTGCAGGTGGTATGCGAACATCCTAGAAAAGTGGTAGTGGGGGAGGGGAATGAGCTGAACTGGTGGCAGCACCACACAAGCCTGAGCGAGAGATGGCTGGAGCTGCAGGGCTGTCAGGGCTCAGCGGAAGAGCCAGGTTCAGCGCCAGGCTCCAACTGGAGCTCGGCGCTGATCCTGGTGCTTCTGTTGAGCCCAGAAGAAGCGCTGATCAGCTGGAATGTTGCAGCATCTCTAGGGTCTTGTGATTTACATTCAGATGCTTGGCAACTGATTCATATTTATGATGGTCACAGTGTCCCAGGGTCATGTGAAGTGACCAAGACCTGCTGCAACCACCCAGCAGACGGGGGGAATAAAAACCAAATACCTCCACCCCAGCCCCGCTGCCAATCCTCAAGAGAAATGCTCACAACAATGAAAACCTCGGACAGGAGGAAGAGCGCTGCCGGGTGGGCAGGCAGGTGTCTTGCTCGGCTGTGGCTTGGGGGGGCCATTGTAACTTTGAACAGTCACTAAGTGAACTGTTGTATGTCGAGGACTATCTGTACTTTATCACTTTTTTTCTTTTTTTTTTTTTCTTTTTTTTTCTTTTTTTTTTGGTCATCAAGTTTTTGACACCTTGCTAAGCGACTGGTAGTACTTGGATATTGCCATATCCTAAAAGTGGTACAATGGGTGAAAAGGTTGAAAAGCCCTGTCTTAGGAGACTCAAAGACTTCTCTTCAGATAATTTGCATGCCGAGTTTGTTGTTGTTGTTAATTGCGAAGTCGTGTCCGGCCCATCGCGATTAAATATGCCCTTGCATCATACACTTTTAGAAATTTGGCTTTCTCTCCTTAAACATTGACTTGCTTCTGGAAGTTGTGGGTGCTCCATCACTGGGGATTTTTAAGAAGATATTGGACAGCCATTTGCCTGAACTAGTATAGGATCTCCAGCTTGAGCTGGGGATTGGACCAGAAGACCTCCAAGCCCCCTTCCAACTCTGTTATTCTGTTAACCTACCAATAAATGGAATACAAAATAAGTTTTATAAACATGAGTTTATTAAAAGTTTGGGCTGATTTTTGAAAATAATATTGGTCATGTTTTTTCAGGCCGTGCTTCTTAGCTTACTGCCTCTCCTAGATCGGCTATTGGAGAAAGCTTTTGGTACCGGACAGATGTTGAAAGATGAAGCCCTTCTTTTGCACCTCGTTCTTGGGAAATACAATGAGCACTCGGCAACACTCCTCTGCACAAGTCAAGAGTGCCTACATCTGTTCCTCAAAGCGTTGCATGCCTCGCAGGAAGTGTACCAGGGCCTTCATCCTTTTCAGATTACAGCTCTTGGGCAGGTAAGATTTTGTGTGAGTTTTTTTTTTCATCAGAATCTTTCGCAGTGATTATTTGCAAACGTTTCTCTTTGCCATAAAAGGTCTTCCAATTGCTTTCTAAAGAGAGAGCTGATAATTACATTTTGCTCCAATTTCCCTTTTTTTTTTCCGCCCTCCAATAAATGAATACCATGTGCACCACAATTCTACTAAGAAAAAAAAAAATAACAGAATCTGCTTCCAGCAGGAAGCAAATGGAGTTCTTGTTTGCTGAAGAAAGATCCTTTTGATACATTTTTCTTTGTCAATGTAAGCTGTAGGTAATTTGGTTTGTGTGTTTATTTATTTTCCATTGTGCTGTCAAGTTATAAGGCAGCCCACTAAAAGTTAGAAAATACAGGATATATGTCCAATCCTGAATGCCAGTAGCTAGCAAGTTGAACAAAGATTCAAAAAAGCCAGATTCAAATTGTATTTTGGGCAGAGTCGTTTTTCTGAGTGAAATGGATGGCATAAAAAAATTAATAAATTAATTCACAGGGTATCATGAGGAAGCTCTATATTTCCTTATATCCTTATCACTGGAAATAATGCTGAACTTTCTTTCAAAATGTTATATATATAAATTTTTTTTTGTTGTTTCTAGATTACAAAAGCTTTCTTTGCTGCACTGCCAGATGGGAAGGTACAGCAAAGGATTCTGGGAGTTCTTTTTGACTTACTTCTCAATTGCAAGAATCTACATTGTGCCCAGACAATCAGCAGCGTATTTAAAGGGGTAAGATCAATTTAATCTCGCTGTATAATGAGACTCTGATTCCTCTGAATAAATAGAACAGGATTATTCATTCAATAATAAGTAAATAATAAAGAAACAATTATTTATCTCTTTCTGTGTAAATTTTGTATTATTCCCTAATCACATAGTTTGCTCTCAGGAATTAGGCCATTATAATCTGATTATTTTTAACAACCGTATTGTGTTCAGTATAGGATCTAGTTAAAATGCATGTTACAGAGAATTAAAACACGAAGTATTTATAGTTTGGAAAATTAGTAATATGCCATATGATGAGCGCATTGCTTTTACTGAAAACAAGACTTTTGTGAACACAGAATAATTTCTGGCTTTAAGCAAAGAATTATATTGCCTTTTCAGTAGGAAGCTATGCTGTTATGTCCTTGGAGGTGCCAAATTCATAGGAAACATTCCTCATAGTCCTCCCCTTCAAATACAAATGGCCGTGCTTTCTTTCTGCACCACTATACAGGCATGTCACATTCCTGTTAACAGAGGATGGCCAGATCATATTCTGCAATTGGGCTGCCTACGTACAATACATTGTGATGTCTGGTGTGTTACAAATCTTTAAAACAAGATCTAACATATTGTTCAGATTTCAGTAGATGCTGAGCAGATTAGTATCGAACTGGAACCTCAACCTAAAATCAAGACTGTGGCTACAGTTCACCAGACAAGAAGGCAGAAAATACAACAACAGAGGTAAAATGGGTGGGAAATATAAATGCCATATATGCTATAATGGAAGAGGTTTTAAAATGAAGAATTAAACGATTTGGAAGCCAAGCAGCTTAAAAACCCAAGACAGTAATTCATTAAGCAACAATTTAAGCTATGACATTTCCATGAATCTACATGTGGAATAAAATTGGTAATACTCTGATATTTAAGATGAAGAGAATGCATATTATTTTCATTGAATTAGTTTTAACTAATTGGAAATGAATTTCATACATGCTTTTGATGCAAAATAATGAAGATAATTTCTGTGATTAAATGGAAAGAGACAGAGTTAACCAAAGAGGACTGGACAAACATGAGAATAAATGTTAGATTATTTTATATAATTAATACTTTAACTTAATGACATCTGCTTATAATTGTGTATGTATATGACATTAGGGCAAATTCGGTGCTTCCGTAGAGAGTTATAACCTTATCTCCATAATCATGAGAACTAGAAGGCCTGTCTGAATTCTTCAAAAATTGTCATCAGAATAGATGTTGCCAGGTTAAATAGCCAAAAACAAGACAACTAAGTAATTAATCAGAGAGGGAACAAAAGCCAAATGTCATAAGCATATATGGTAAGCCAAGCAATAGAAAGATTAAAAAGGACATATGAATTAAGCAATCCTTAATAGCTGTATTTTGTTGATAAGTCTTTGGCTCTTTGTAGAATCTGACTCACAGGAATAGTTGCTGTGCAAAAACTGATATTTTTATAGAAGGAAATAAGTTTACTTTGTTCTGCTTTTTATCATCCAGGAAAGTCCAAGATCAAGAATGTGCACAAGAAGAAAGTATGAACTGGCAAAGAATTACACTTATCCTAGAATTGCTACAGCACAAAAAGAAGCTCAAACAGCCTCAGGCCCTGATACCTACCCTTTTCAATTTGCTATCTAGGTAATTTTACTTTGGAGAGCAATCCTACATCTTGTAATTTCTTAACCAGATTGGGTTCAGTCCAGCCATTAAATATGAGGATTGGCTGGCCCTGGAAAAATCTATATCTTGCCCATGGGAGAAAGGAGTTACGAAATAGAGTAACCCTTCCATTTTTAGATTTGGGCATTGTCAAAATGACTCAGCTCTTCTGTCCTCCATTCTGTGCTATAGTTTAGTTCTGTCTAATCTCTCTTTATGTGGCCAAGCTATAAGCAAACCTGCATTTGGTCACTACGAACATGTGGATCTGACTGCCCTTTAAGATGTTCCATCTTAGAGCATAGTTTCCAGTTGCTGCCCCACTGCTAAATATTCTTGAGTTGCATCATGTTGCTGCTAGCTATGTTGATTCCTCAAGAGCCTTGCAATTCCTTTCTTGTCTATAACTGCTTCCTTTGATGATTTCTCCAATAAGGTATTTGAAAAAAAAAAAAAGGAACTTGGAATGTGATGTAGAAATTTCAGTGTGTTATAGAAGATTGGTTCTCTCTGTCTCCCCCCTTCAAAACTGCTGTTTTTAGGTAACAGCATGGAATTTTATGTTTGATCATCTATTTCTCCCAAAAAACTAGCCTAACTCCTTTCTGAATTTCCAGGTGTCTAGAACCTACTGCAGGGGAAGAAAATCTGGAATACACAAAACAACTAATACTTGGTAGTTTGTTAAACATTTGTCAGAAGCTGTCCCCAGATAGCAACAGGATAAAGGCAGGTAAAGTGAAGACCAAAGTTAATTTCATTTGGGATATTTGATAGTGTTCCCCTAGGGCAGGGGTCTTCAAACTTGGCCCTTTTATGACTTGTGGATTTCAACTCCCAGAATTCCTCAGCCAGCGTGCCTGGCTGAGGAATTCTGGGAGTTGAAGTCCACAAGTCATAAAAGGGCCAAGTTTGAAGACCCCTGCCCTAGGGTTGTATCTCCAAATGCATTTGGGAGAGAAGCTTTGTAAGCCTTGCTAACTTTTCAGTGCCTTCTCTGCTTTTTGAGGTCTCCTGGATGAAGAGAAGTTCAATGTGGAACTGATTGTTCAATGCATCCGGGTCTCAGAAATGCCACAGACACATCACCACGCACTGCTGTTGCTGGGTGCCGCAGCTGGAATGTTTCCTGTGAGTTTATTGGAATGCTTGTTGAGGGTGGGCAAGTTCATCCAAATTTCTAAAAAGGAATATCACATTTAGGTGCCTTTTCAGCTCTGACGCAGGCATTTGGGTGAGGCTGCTCATCTTTTCCTATGCTTAGAAATAGCTGGCCAATTTCCAGGTTCGCTTGACTTCTTTCTTCAAGATTTTTCTCACCACCTCCTGCTTTTTTTCTTTGCATAGATCACCGTCAATTACCAACCTTTTTTTTCCTCTTCTTTATCACTGATCTGTTACTCCCTGAAGTGATCACTAACTGGTCAGAGGTTTGACAGTTTGTTTAATGTTTAAACAAGTATTGAGGAGCTGCTAAAATTGTCTATTCATGCAGGATAGAAAACTGGCTTCCGAGTGCAATTCAGGGTGCTGGTTATTATCTATGGCACAGGGTCTGGATCCCTGAGAAACCACTTGTCTTCAGTTGTTTTTGCCCACCCAGCTGCATTCTGTTCTTAATTGTGAGGCCCTTCAGACAACCATTTGTTCCTTGATCACCTCACAACTGAATGACGGCAATGCGCTCCACATGGGGCTCCCCTTGAAGACCACCCAGAAGCTACAACTGGTTCAAAATGCCGTGGTGTGAGCAGAAATGGGCACTGCCTGCTGTGCTCGTGGGTCACCACTGCTAGGCGAGCTGCATTGGGTGCCAAATAAGGGGAGAGTGAAGTTGAGCAGTTCCTTTGACATTGTTTAAAAAAAAAGCAAAGGATCCACTGCTTTAAAGTCAGAGAAACTGCAAAGCAGGAATAAATGCTCAAAACCAAGTGCTACATGAATAATAGTTGCTTTCTTTTGCGCAGGATAAAGTGCTACACAATATCATGCCCATTTTTACATTCATGGGAGCAAACGTCATGCGTCTGGATGATGCGTACAGTTTCCAGGTGATTAACAAGACAGTGAAGATGGTCATTCCAGCTCTTATACAGGTAAGGTCATTTAAACTGCATCACTAAAACAGAATACAGGTAGTCCTCGGCATATGACCCCAATTAAGCCCAACATTTCTATTCCTAAGCAAAACAGTCGTTAAGTGAGTTGCATGGCATTTTTTTTGCCACAGTTGTTAATTGAATCATGCAGTTGTGAAACGAATCTGGCTTTCCCCATTGATTTTGCTTGTCAAAAGACAGTTGGGAAGGTTACAAAGGGTGATCACATGAGCCCGAGACACTGCAACTGTCACAAACACATCCCAGTTGCCACCTGCCTGAATTTTGATCACGTGACCGTGGGGAATTCTGCAATGGTTGTAAGTTGAAAAACATTCGTAAGTCACCTTTTTCAGCGCCATTGTAACTTCAAATGTTTACTAAGCAAACAATTGTAAGGCAAGGACTACCTCTACCAAACTTAAGTCTTGCATCTGAGACAATAGAATTCTTATTTTTATTAACTGCAGCTTGGATTCTAAATGCTTTGGCTTAATTCTTCCTATTTTTTTAAACAGGAGTTTCCTTTATTCATATCATTGCTGGATTTGCAAGACAATAACAGCCATTTATTGTCAAGCCTGCCTTTCATTTACAGATTGGCTTTGCCAAACAAACCCAATTCCACTAATTATATATCTATTCCATGGTTCTTCTTTAGTATTCAGGCTTTGGTTATAACCTTGGCTTTTGGGGGTGGGATTTTTGTTGTTGTTGTTGTTTTGGGCTTGTTGGTGGTTTTTTTTGCTTCATTTGAATAAAGTCTTGTCTGTTTTGCTTTTGTTTAGGCTTTGGTTTGTATGTATAACCTGCTTTTTTTTTTAATATTCTTTGTAGGCAGAGGAAGATGGTAGGTCTTCAGGAACTGCAGGGAACATGGAAGGAGTTGTGATTAAAATCATCCGGGTTTTTGTGGATGCCTTGCCCCACGTGCCAGAGCATCGGCGTCTCCCAATTCTAGAGCAACTGACAAGTACTTTGGGGGCAGAGCGATTTCTGTGGATTCTTTTAGTACTGTTGTTTGAACAACATGTAACCAAATCTGGGACTGCAGTAGCCAGTGGGGAGAAGGTAGGTAAAGAGTTTTGAAGAGTACATTGTCTTTAAAAATGTATGAGTTGCTGTGCAGAATGTTGCAATATAATACATAATATGCAGCATTTTACCCTACTGTTTTCTTCATCTTGCTACTTACACAGGATATTGTTTTGGAAACTGATACGGAATTCTGGATTTCTGTATGTTGTGAATTCAGCATAATTGAACAGCTGCAAAGTTTAATGAAACTACTCAGCTATTTAACAAACCTGCCAGAGAACAAAGAAGGTAATTACCAGCAAAGAAAGTTGTAGTCAGCCACTCAATAAACAGATCGGGTTGAATTCCAGCTGAAAGAAGCTTGTTTAGGTGGTTCATAATCAGGCCTAGTGCTATTTTCTCCAGAGCTGGCCCAAAACCCAGTGCAGCAAATGGCATCTCAGTTCCCCAAACCAAGGTACTTAATTTGAGCGTACAGAGAAGAAGATCCCCTAAAAATTTCCATTCTGGCAATAATGATAAATGAAATATCCTTTCATGGTGCTAAAAATCTACTGCCTGAGTCGTTCCCCTCATTCTACCCAAAACTAGAGCAAAAGTTGTATTTACTTAAGGAATGGCCCAATTTATACAACATGCTACACTGCTTTATGGCATAGATGTGAGTAAATGCCACTTTTAATTGGATTTTTCCATAATATGTACTAAGATGTATTTATTTACTTACTTGTTTAAAAAGATTTATATGGCTTTGGGGTCTATTTTTTGCAGACGATTCTGGGCAAAAGAAGTCGAGGCCACTCAGGACACAAGCCTACAGTCAAGAAACAGAACTCTTTGATGTGGAGTCTCATTCTGGCAAACAGTTGAGGCATTTGAAATTCCTGGCAGTCTCTTTCATGTCACAGCTTCTGGCTTCGCACAGTTTTGTAAAAAAAGTGAGTTGAATTTATCTTTGCCCAGAATTGCTAAGAGTCCCATTACTGGTTGAGAACCTGTAATTTCCATGAACTGAGGCAAGTTGCAGAAACTTCTTTTCTCTTCCCTTCTGGCTTCAGTGTAGTGCTGTTTGGTGTAACTAGAAACATGCTTGACATTGAGTGCAAAGTAAAATAACATTACATGTTATTTTGCTGTAAATTCTGCAGATCGTTGACTAAATATCTTGGCAAGAAAAGCCAAGGGATAGACTAAGACAAACCACACTGGACTTCTCTTTCTGGTCTTGGAACAAGCCAGAGGCAAGATTTATACATATTGTGGCTGGCAGTTGAACATTCCATCCATGTGTACAACAGCCACAACAGTATAACAAAAGCAGATTTGTTTTTAGGTTTAATCATTTGTGATTAGTGCTAGCTTATCAATAAATTAGGATAAATATGTTCAAACACATTTAAAAATGCATTCTCTGGTTAAGAGAGACCTAACCCTGCCTGCAGCCTTTGCTCTCCCCAAAAATAAATTGACATGCTCTCCCACCCACAATTTGGGACAGATTTGATTGGCCTTTGTATTGAAGTGGGTTCTGATGATAAGAATAGTAGGCATTGTGGAAACAATTTTCAGAGGCAAATTTGAAAGCAAACTACCTGTTGGAACTCTTGTGCTATTCCTTTTTTAATATATATATATATATATATATATATAAATATTTATGCGAATTCATAAAAGCAAGTTCCTTGAGTTTCTTTCCAGCTGTGATTACTGTAGGAGAATTTGACATTACTTTGAAATTCTATGTGCAAAAGAGATCTTTCAAGGCTGTGTTTTCACTAATTAGGAACTTAGGAGACCATCCCTCAAATCAATTGCCGGTCCCACTCAATCCTGTATAGTATGCTAATCGCAGCATGAAGCTCCAGAAAATGAAAAGGGTGAAAATTTTAAAGAACTAAAGGCTGTGTATGAATCAATGTGTGGCTATAGTAGAAGAAAGGATAATAGGGATGATTTAACTAGATCTAGTTAAATTTCTTTTTCTTTTTTTCTCATTTAATTTCTTTTGCTCAGTACTTGTGTTGGACTTTAACATTGGTTACACTGAAAGGGAACAGTTTGGTGAATATATATGCGTGTATAATAATAAAAAGGATGGATTTTTCAGGATCCTGATTGCCACCAATTTTTTAGTGTAAAGCCAGACAAAATAGCCATGAAGATTTTATCTGGTTAATACTATAAAAAAAAAATATTAGCGCACCTCATAATCACGTTCACACAACTGAATTTAAACCCTAACCCTAACATTGACATGGACTGTGCAAGTGATTTTCCTTCCTTTGTCCACTAGGTAGTTGAATGTGAAGATTCTGAAGAGTTAAAGGAACTTGAACAAAAGTATGTTTGCTTTTTTGTTGAATATTTTATTTATGAATAGAAGTAAACTGTATGGGGAGATTTTGAGAAAGAATTACTTAACATCAAGGGTGTCAAACTTGATTTCATTGAGGGCTGCATCAGCATTGTGGTTGCCCTCGGGGTGTGTGTGGCCAAGATGGTCACAGCCGACTGGGTGGGCGTGGCCGGGGTAGGCATGGCCAGCTGAAAGTCACTTGCATCAATGGGCACTTGTTGGGGTCCAGGGGGATCCAGAGGTCTCCGATGGAGGGGTGCGCTGAGGCCTGATCTACCAGAGGAACTTTGCCAACCTTCTTGGGCCATGTGGAGGGAGGGGCAGACAACAGCATGAGCTGCCGGGGCCTTGCTGTCTCCAGGTCGGCCCCACGGGCCAGATCTGGGCCTATTGTGGGCCGCATCCAGCCCACGAGCCTTATGTTTGACATGTCTGTTTATATCTTTGGCCAGATGAGAAATGAACTATATCTATCATCTCTGTCTACCTGAAACTACAGCCTATTAAGGTATACGTTACTAATTCAGTAGGTGGTGATAGGCAGAGATCGCACATAAGAAAACCTGAAACAGGACAAGGACAATTTCAAAACAAATCAGGCTGATCTGTGAACATAATGTTACATTATTTTTTGCTTCAAGATATAGAAAGTGTAAAACTAATGCTGAGCCTATACTTTGATAGAATGGAATCCTGTCTTTAATTTATTTAGAGTAGCCACTACTCTAGTAGACTGACTTTAAAAATATGTCAGCATAAAATAATGCAAGTATTGAGCTAACATTTCCTACTGATGGAGCATCTTGTATCAACCGAATGTTGGGGCAAATTTCAAGGATAGTTTGGGATTCTGCCTTGATGATCACCATGATGATGATAACAAAGTTGAATTTAATGGCATGCCCACATGGCCTATTTCTTGTGGATAAATGGTTTTCTTTTTGGATTCTCTTATTCTAATGGAAAATTAATATGGATTGATGTAGCCAGTCATTCACTATAGTTGTTTTTCTAGGTTGTTGGAAAAAGTTCTTTGCTACATAAATGCAGTGGCACAATCAATAGAAAAAAATGCCAACACTTTGACAGCCAAATTCTGGAAGGTTTTGCTCAACAAATCTTATGAACTACTAGATAAAGTAAGTATTATTGTATCTGCCAGTAAGGTGACATCTTGAAGCTTTGTGATTTTGATATAAAAATGGATTTATTAATTCTAAACCACCAAATAATACAGGCAAAAATCTTAGTTGCTTAAGAATCTTGGGTTATCTGGTACCACAGATTTGCTTAGCAAATTAATTCCAGTAATAACAATTTACAGTCATCTGGGCAATTTATATGAATACAAACAATAATACAATACAGATTTTAAAACAATGTGTTAAAAAATAGAAAATATTAATCTATTATATTTGGGAAAAAGTGAAGCAAGCCCATAGAAAGGCTTACCCTTGAAAGAAGAAGACTTACAGAAAATACGATAGAACTTTGGTTTTCTGAAAGGTGGGGAATTATCTTAAGGACCGTTTCTTCCCAGTTGCATCCCCCCAACCCATTAGAGCGGGGAGGCAAGGAATATTGCAGGTCCATCCCCTAAGAAGGTACATCTGGCAGGACCCAGAAGAAGGGCCTTCTCTGTGGTGGCTCCCTCGCTTTGGAATATCATCCCCACCAAGATTAAATTGGCCCCCATTTTGACACTCTTTCACAAGGCCTTGAAGACCTGGTTCTACCAACAGGTCTGGGAAACCCAGAGTGGGATGGAACCCAGCAAATGGATTGTTTGATTATGTGTTGTCACCTGGGGGGGGTCTGTTTTTTATTCTTTTATATTGGGTTTTTTATTGTTTGTAAAACACCCAGAGTCATTGAGAGTGAGTGGCAGTCATATAAATCTTCTAAATAAATAAATAGATAAGTTCTTCAAAAGAAGAATAGTGTGCCAGAGTGCTGGGGATGAAATAAAGATCTCAAACTATAGGATAAGTTCCAGTTAGGGAAAGTTTTGTAATTGGTAAGAACAGGTCAATAGAGAAACCAACTAGTATAAGAGGTTATAAACTCCCCTTCAGTAAATATGTTGAAGCAGAAGCTGGATAGCCAGATTTGGTGGTCTAAACAACTCCTTTCAACTCTGGATTTTCTAAATCAATTTATCAGGCAGTTGAGTGAAGGCAGAGGGAAGGAGGAACAGAGTTTCCACTTACCTTAGTCAAGACCTGAGGAAAGGCTTGGAATGTGGAGAAAACTGAGTGAAGAAAATTCTCAGCTTATACTGTTTCCTTCCGATTTTGACCTAGTTGTAGAGGACATGGGGAAAGGCCTTGGGGGACAGGAGGAAATACGAGTCACTACCAAGGCAACAGATAAGCGGGGCTTGAGCTTCATTCCAAGATGCTGACTAAACATCGCAGACAGGGCCCTCCCTAAGTCACACAAAAATAGTGAAGGGGGGAGGGGAAGCACAGTCTTGCAAGGTTCTGTTACTATAGTTGTCATGATAGCAGCAGTCTCGACCCATATGACATTGGTTTGTCAGTCTGTTCTACCTTGTTAGATTGACACTGGGTTTGCATTCTGAGATTTTCTTGAGTTTCCCCCAAATTCAAGAGTCAGTGGGATACTCAAGAGACAAAGGATTGTTAAATTAGTTTTCCTCTCTAAATACTGAAACAATTTTTTACCATTAATTTTTTAAAAAATTGTTTCTATGTTTCCTTTCTAGATCAATTCCTTAATTCCAACAGAAACCTTTATTCCTGTCCTCAGGGGCCTGATAATCAATCAGTTGCCCTCAGTGAGACGTAAAGCCATGGATCTCCTCAACAATAAACTGCAACAGAACACACAATGGAAGCAAACCCAAGTAAGCATTTCTTCTCATTGTCTCTGTTGCAATATAGTATTAGTAGTCATAGCAACCATAATAGAAAAAGTTCAGCTTTGCCTTTAAGTACAGTACTTAAATAAAGAAGTACTGGATCTGGATCCCTGAATTTACTATAGGAAATCTTCTGCGGTGTGCTTGTTTGGATTGTAAGATCTGGACTTGGATATTCAGCCCTGAAAACTTCCCATGAATGGTTCAGCCTCATTTTGTCTTTTTAGGTGGAACTGCTGCTTGAATTGATTCCCGACCTCCTCACTGTTGTGCAACATCAGGAAGCTGAGGAACAGGCAATTAACAGGCAGACGGCCTTGTATAGCTTGAAGTTGCTGTGCAAGTGTTTTGGCACAGAGAAACATGAGCTGTTTGTAACTGTGTTAAAAGTGGCCATCAAGGTGATTTCTTCAGATGGGAAAGAAGAAAAAAATGTTGTTGGAAGTGCTTTGTTGTGCGCTGCTGAGGTCACCTGTGTGCTGAAAGCATTGGCTATACCTCAACTTCCAAGGTAACTCTTCTACAAGCATAATTAAGGATCAAAAAAATTGAACATCTGGACTGACTCTTGAGAGTTGTTCAAACTATGCCTTCCATTGCAGTGTGATGGAATATCAGTTAAGAAGCTCTAAAAGATAGGGTGATTATTTTTCTTCTCCTTTTATAGGTAGACACAGGTTTTCCAGGAAATTCCGAAGGGGGGGGAAACCAATTGGCATTGGGGAAAAAAAATTATGGACTTCCTTTTGTGTAAATGATTCTTAATTTTCTATGCTCTTCCTTGCAAAGAAATGCTTGAATTATATTCATAGGAAATTTTGTATGATTAATTGGAAGCGTTCCCCAAAAAGAATGAAAAATTAAGCACTTTCCTGATTGCAATAGTTCAAGAAAGTAGTGAGAGATAAAATGAGTTTTGACTCATTTTGACTCCTATGCAATGAACTACTACACTGCCCTTTATTTAGATTAAGAAACTTAACCGTGAATATTCATTAGAAATGTCTGTGTTTTCAGAAGAGCTTGGCCTTTGATCTTATTTAAAACACCGTTTAGTGAAATATATTTGAATAGAAGATAGCTTATTTTATCGGGAGGTCTGTTTGAGTACGAACAGGTTAATCTTATGTAACTTTTCTCGTAGACTGATGCCGGCATTGCTAAATATACTGAAACACAAAAAGGACTTGGTCGCCAATGAAATTTATTTACTTAGCACAGTGACGGCTCTGCTGAAAATTGTAGAAACTTTGCCATGCTTCCTCAGCCCATATTTACTGGATGTTCTGCTCCAGGTCAGCAAGTATTAGTTAAGCAGCACGATGTGTGAAACTTCTGCGAGATAATTTGATTTGTACATTGGTTGCCTCCTAGGTGGTCCACTTGGACAGAATTACTGTTGAAATGGGACCTTCATCTCAAGTTAATCTTCGTGTGGCCTCTCTGAAAACCACTTTAGCAACAAAACTTCCAGCAAGAGTTCTTCTGCCGGCAATTGCCAAGTGCTATGGTGAAATTGCAAATGCCTATAAGGTTAGATGCATTTCAGTTCTTCCAACCCACCTCTTGCTATATTATTATACATACATACATAGTCAGTATATTGCCCCAGGTCAGGGGTAGGCAACCCAAAACACTCAAAGAGCCACTTGAACCCATTTCCCACCAAAAACAAAACACCAGGAGCCGCAAAACCCTTTTGATATCTAAAATGAAGATAACACTGCATATATCCTTTTTTATCTTTATTATAGGTGTGTGTGTGTGTGTGTGAGAGAGAGAGAGAGAGAGAGTGTGTGTTTGTGTATGTGTGTGTGTGTGTATACACACATACACACACACACACACACATTAAAAATAAAAGTAAAAATATGACTCTTGGGAATATCCATACTATTAAAACAATGATCACTGAGAGAATGCTTTAAGAGAATAAAATTACATACACACATAGGTAAAAAAAGGATATATGCAGTGTTATCTTCATTTTAGATGTCAAAAGGGTCTCTCTCTCTCTCTGTCTCCCTCCCTCTCTGCCCTTGGTCTGCCACTCCTCTTCCCCCACTCTTTCTTTCTCTCTCCTCTCTCTCTCCCCCTCCCTCTCTCTCTCTTTCTCTCTCTCTTTCTTCCCCCCCCCCATCTGCTGCTCACCTGGCTTGCTTCAAGTTGTTCTCCAACAATCTCAGGGGTAGGCAACCTCAGCTCTTTTATGACTCATGGACTTCAACTCCCAGAATTCCTGAGTCAGCCTAGCTGGGCTAGCTAGCTCTCTCCTGCCCTTCCTGCTTCCTGCTGAGACGCAGCAAAGGGAGGAGCTCCGCCCTGAAAGCTTTTCAGCTCCTCGGAGAACAATGTGAGTGCACTCTCTTTTACACACACACACACACACACACACACAAAACACAGAGAGAGAGAGAGAGAGAGAGAAGCAGGGAAGCGCAATTGCCTCTCTCTGTCTCTGTCTCTCTCTGCAAAGGCAGAGGAGGCTGGGAGCCACAGGGGAAGGCTCAAAGAGCCGCATGCGGCTCCGGAGCCGCAGGTTGCCGACCTTTGCCCCAGGTAATAATGGAGTTCAGAAAGGGAGTGTAATTCCATCGGCAAAAGGCTGCTTCCTTTACTCAACTAATCTGTGCTCTATCATGGCCTTCTTGGGCAAGGAGGAAGAGGAGCAGGGCAATGGTTCCTTATGGCTCTCAAATTTCACACTATCCTGGATCAGAAGTTTTCCTTAAAAAAGATGCTATTAAGTTTTTGAAGGGAAAACTTCAAGCAATCTGGACATTATTTAATAATTTGAATTCCCTTGGGTATTAATCTGAACTTGTATTTTTATTCGTTTGCTCTTCTAGAATGATGTGGGTACTATAATGGATATTTTGAAGGAGCACATTGTAACTCTGGAGAAAAATCAGCTCTCTGCTCATCAATCTGAGCTAACAGCATTTTTCACAAAGGCTTTGGACTTCAGAGCTGAACACTCTCAGGTGAAGTATAGGAAATCTTTTGGGAGTGGCACAAATGTATTCCTCTTCAAGTGAAGTTTCCCTTTGAATTAAAATCTTTATGGGGGAGTTTAAAAAGCTCAGTTCTGGGCAGAATTGTGCCCACAATCCTATAAACACTGCTGCAAATATTTTGATAATACCTGCTTTATTCTAGGACAATATAGAGAAGGTTGGCAAAATAGAATCTCGAATTATTACATGCTTAATCAGCATGATTATGAAGCTTTCTGAAATGTCTTTCCGACCCTTGTTTTTCAAGGTAGGCATTTGAACACACTTCTATCTCAATAAGGTTTTTTGTTTGTGTTTTGATACAAAAAAAACCCGCCACCCCTGTCTCTCTTTCTTTCAGCTCTTTGATTGGGCCAAAACTGAAGGTGCCTCAAAGGATAGACAGTTAACTTTCTACCGACTGGCAGACTGTATTGCTGGTGAGCTAAAAGGGCTGTTCAGCCTATTTGCTGGCCATTTAGTGAAACCTTTTGCTGACAATCTGAACCAGATTAATACATCAAAAACAGGTAAAAATTCTAATTTAAAAATAAATGCAAGGAAGAAAAAAATATTTTAATAAGATATGTTATAATGCACTAATAACGTGATAATGCGTATTTATCATTTTTCTTCTTAGCTTATTTTCATTTTTTTAGAAATGCAAGGCTAGTCTGGATCAACTCAGAATCTAACTTCTGATTTTCTTGAAGTTCACCTTCAAGAAAATAAATCGTAGGGATCATTCACATTAAACTAAGTTTGTTTAACTTTATCACAGCCTATGTCATGTCTTCACTGAGGGAGGATAAGATTTAGAATCTTGCGTTTCATTTTATTTGCATTATTTCTATAAAATAATAAACCAGTAATAATGAGAATAATTATCGTAATAAGGTAAAGAAAAGCCACACTTAAAATTAATAAACCCATGTGATCAAGATCTTATGACATGGTGAGAAAATGGTATTACTGTACATTTTTGATGAATGAACTCTGCTGAAATAATGACTTATGTTTTCAGTTCTTGGGTAGATTTCGTATGTAGCCAAATAACAGGTCTTTCAGCAATGACTTGTCCTTCCAGTACCATTAAGTTGATAAGGCATAAGCTACATCATCATTTCTCAATTGCTTAAGTATTTCTGAGGAGTTTGAAAAGTTTCAAAGGGATGCTTCAGGGAAGCACTTCAACTACCCAGAAAAAAAGTCTCCACATGCAGAACTAAGGCATCGGGGTGCCGCCAACTTGGGGAACATAATTATGAATGGAACAAAACCCATCTCTTCCTGGGCATTCTGCAATCTGCCAAGCTTTTAGGATGTCCACTCATGCTTTAGTCCATCTCTGCACTTCAGTATTTAAAAAAAAATATTTTTCAACTACAGTTGGGAGAAACATGATCTGGATAACATCCAGCTATCAAATTTTTTTAACCTGCTGTATCACACAGATTTTATAAGTTTTTTGTTACCCTAACATGTTGTTTCTCAACCATGGCAATTTTCAGTTGTGTGGCTTCAACTCAGAATTCCCCAGCCAACAAGCGAACAAGCTTGGGGAATTGAAGTCCACACATCTGAAAGTTGCCAACGTTGAAAAACATTGCCCTAATAATATCTGAATCTTAATATTCTATTTAAAAACAACTTTAATTATAAACATGCTATTAATGAAATTTTCTCTTTGCTAATAGTATACGGAGATTACAAAATTGAGTGTTAGCTAAGTATAAACGCCTTATCCTGTACCTTTTGCTGTTTATTTCAGATGCAGATGAAGCTTACTTTGAATCTGAGGGCGACACTGAAAAAAGTTGCTTATTACTACAATATAGCCTTGATTGCTTGTACAAAATCTTCCTTTTTGATTCTTATCATTTTGTGAGCAAAGAGAGGGCAGAAACATTGATGCTGCCGTTAGTCAATCAGGTTAGAGAACAGTGACATTTTTATTAGATTATTATGTAATAATAATAATAAAGTTGGAAGGGACCTTGGAGGTCATCTAGTCCAACCCCCTGCTCAGGCAGGAAACCCTATACCATTTCAGACAAATGGCTGTCCAGTCTCTTCTTAAAAACTTCCAGAGTTGGAGCATTCACCGCTTCTATAATAGGTTTCCACTGTGCTGTGTCATTCTTGGACCATTTTTACAGATATGCTTTGTTCGTTTGGGCTAGGTTCCTTTTTCAGCTTCTCTTATTGCCAAATTATCATACTTGATTTAGAACATGAGTTGAGTGATATACTATTTATAAAGGAACAATCCACCAAATACAGTCTTGTACAACCAGTGGTTAAATGTAATCAGGGTTCTTATGGATTCCCCAAAAAAGAGATATTAAAATATATATAAAGAATCAAAGGAATCAAACGATAAGAAAAATAAAATAATCTGTTCTAATTCTAAAAGCTCTAGCATAACATTGCTTTAAGTAACAACTAAGAATTTGGTCAGGCTAAATAGCCCAACATTGGTTGAAATGATTTTTTTTTTCATTTTTCTCTCGGCATGGAACTGATTTTACTTTTTTTTCTTTGTAGCTGGAAAACATGCTTGGAGGAGAAGAGAAATTCCAGGAGAGAGTGACTGTGCATTTGATTCCGTGTATAGCACAGTTTGCAGTCGCAATGGCAGATGACTCTCTGTGGAAGCCCCTGAACTATCAGATTTTGCTAAAGATGAGGCATGCATCGCCCAAGGTTAGTGGCAGATGTGTCAAGTTCTGCTCAAGCCAATCAAGGGGGCAAGTACTCTGTGTATTTTCCTTTCTTTGGAAAAGAAAATAATACAGCTTAATTCATGTTGGGGGGAGGGGTCAATATTTTAAAAACGGGGATGTTGTGATTGTGCCCAGATGTTGCGGAGGAGTTAGCATTGGGCCATTCTGACTGCACTAATATTTTTGAATGCCCTGATTACACTTATTTTTTGTTCAGGTTCGATTTGCAGCTTTGTTGGCTTTGTTAGAGCTTGCCGAAAAAATAAGAGAAAATTATATGGTACTACTACCAGAATCCATTCCTTTCTTAGCTGAGCTTATGGAAGGTAATGTATTGCATATTGTTCTTGCATCAGGTTACTTTTTTCCCATAAAACTACTTTTAATAAAGCATGGCTGTCCTGCCGTTCCACCTTAGGGACAAATTATCCTGTCTCTGTAGAAAACTGCTGGACGTCAGGCTACATAGTACCGCACACTAAACTATATTCTTAGGTTCTATGAGCACTTCTAGCCTTGGGTCTAAGATAGTCGAGAACGGATTCATTAGAGGATATATATTTTTCTCACAAAGAAAACTTTCTATGGCGGGTTTTCAGCATGAATATACAGAATGTATCAAACTCCAAGTCAATCACAGTACATTTTATTTCCAAGAAAATGTCACAGTATTTAGGAATGTTCAAAGGACATGTCTCAAACAAGTAAGGAAATGTTTAGAAGAAAATGGTGTAGGGTTTCCTGCCTGAGCAGGGGGTTGGACTAGATGACCTCCAAGGTCCCTTCCAACTTTACTACTATTACTATTACTAAAATGGAATTAATTCAAGCATTACATATAATTTATATAATAGTCTATAGGGCCTTTAGATATACCCTGTTTGGGTGTATGTGTACACACACACACACTGTATCTGTACTGAGTTGGTTCAATATTAAATTAGGGAATCTCTAAAATTTAAATTGATAATTAAGCACCGATTGAACCCCAGGTATTTATAATGTTGTTTTCTGCAACCTGAGAAAGTTGATTCCTTCCTTGGGCAGAGCTAACATCTAAATTATTAGTTCTAGAAAACCTTGAGTTTATATGCCTTGCAATATGGTGCTGGTCATTGCTTTTCTAAGAACACCTTTGGAACTTACTAGGAACATTTTCTTAGAGTTTCCCAATCTTTCCAAAGTTTAATTTTAAGATTAATATATGATAGTAGTGATATATACATTTTAAAATATCTATTTGAAAAGGTATAAGTTTCCTCCCTGTGAATGGAAAGGTGCATTTGCAAATAATAATATCCAAACAATTGAAAACCAGCTAAAATATCTCTAGAAGGCATGAAAATGGAGGTTAGGAGAGAAAAGATGCAGCATGAGAGAACCCTAAATTGTTTATTTCTTTTTGCCTCCTTGGCAGATGAATGTGAAGAAGTGGAGCATCAATGCCAAAAAACCATTCAGCAGCTTGAAGTTATTCTTGGGGAACCACTCCAGAGCTACTTTTAATCCTATCCCACCAACTCTTCTGGTTTTAGAGGTTAAGGCTTGCAAGGACCAAGAGAACACAACCTTTTTTCTAATTCTTTGTTTCATGTATATTTTCACATATATATTTGATCATTTTGCTCAATATTTATGTTAAAAGGACTATTTAGATTTTAATTAAAAAAGAACAAATTTTCAAGTGTAACTTCTCTACATTTACTTTTTCTTATGCAGTTTTTAAAAGGTTTCATTACACTCACTATACTGAATTAAATTTAATTTCTTATCACTTTTCTGGGCCACACTGAAAAATTTCATCACATCTACTGTATACATTAATTAGAACTGAGGAAACAAATTCAACCCTTTTATTTCCCCATCTAGAAACTCGTACTGTCCTATCTCGGCCATCAGTTCTTCCTGTTCATATCAAAACATTTTAAGGAGACAATCAGAGTTTAATAGATTCCACATTGCTTTGCACTTTCAGAATTTTAATTATAGATTGGAAAGCCATACATTCTCCATAAAGCTCAGCAGAAAATTATAATTGATTCTGAACATATCGGAACTGTTTACAGATATTTTTGATAACATAAGATTTTTTAAAAATGCTAGGCAGTAGATTGAGATACAAAAACAGCTGCCTAGATAAACAGTCATAATGGAAACGTGTTATATATTACCCAGAAATGCATGGAAGCCTACTAATTTTACTGAACACTGATGAGGCAATTCTTACTAAGTTCAATGGAGTTTTTTTCCAGTTATATATGTACTGGTTTGCAATTTAATACTGGTGCTTGTAACAGTATTTTCCAGCTGTAACATCAGAATATACTTCAAGGATAATTGTATTAATCATTGATTTCTTAAGCTTTATAAAAAACTAATTGGTGTGTGCCTTGAGAATCAAGCCTTTCACTATGAACACTGGAACGTTGTAAAAGCACATAGTGTTCTTCAAATATGTCATTTACATTGGCACAATCTCCGTAGTTAGTAAACTATAAATTGTTAGACCATTTTATGGTTAGTTATTAGATACAGTACTTTAGTTAATTTAAGTGATCACACAGAGAGATTTCTGCAATCTTCTTCCTTTGTTGGTTACATCAAGATGATTCTCTGCAAGCAATTAACAAAACACAGGAACTGCACAACTACCAACATTTTGCATCTAAGAGTTGAACATCCCCGAAGACTTCCAATATACAGATCTTGTCAAGCTGCTTAAATCTATGTTTGTACTCTAGGATATGGATGCCATTGACAGCAACATTATAATGATGATCTTTGCAGAAAATTATCAGCTGAAATTCAGAAGGATAATATCAACAGCAATAGAATCAACTTCCAAAGACTTATCTTTGGAAAGGAAAGAATACAAATACAATGCAATGCCAATAAATTAAGATTGATCTTTCAGAAATCCTATATCAAGCAGTCTACTTCACTGTATCCCTTGAACATTTTTATAATGTTTAAATTCATTTTCTAAATGTATCCATAAAACGTGTTTGTCTACAATACAATGGGTTGCAACACTGAAACTACAAATAGTTATAGTTCTTTCTGTTGCATCCAGTAGGTTGCCAAACCTTCACATCTTGAAAAGGAAGAAAATGTAATGCAAATGTCTGAATGTCATCTTGTTTTGGGATAGTTGCCAATTTCTGTACATCAAAGAGCTATATATGGTAGAAGGTTATGAACCTATTTCCATGTTGGCTCAGGAATTCTGGACGGTGAAATCCACATGTATGGTTTTCCATACCTTTCAGGAAGTCCAAATGTACAGTTTTCCATACATTTCATGGTAACTTCCCCCCACTTTACTTTTTATCACAAATAATTCATAAATGTGTGAATTATTAATGCTATTTATTTATATGGCCACTCAACTCTGGCATTGTGACTTAGGGTGGTGTTCAATAGATAGGCATTAACAGGCAAAATACAGATCAGTAATCTTGTTTAGTTCCTACCTCAAAGTACATTCCTGGGCTGAAAGGAAAATGAGCAATAGATCTTTCTTCTTCTCCCCAGCTATTGAACAGGTAAGAATTTCTCACAAAAACATTATCTTTTATTCGGGGATTCAAATGAAGAGCAATATCATTTGACTCACTGGACTTAAGGTTAATTGCAAAGCTGAAAATAAAAATGGTGACATCAGTTATGTACCCTTAGGTCATTCTTCCTCCAACTTCGTGCCCTCTATCATGTTCAGCGTGCGGCTCCCATTAGCCCTCCTTCCAGTTCTTGCCTTCACCCAGGATGGAATTGTATTTTCATCTCTTTCCTGCCAACATTACATTCCATGTCAATCTTCACTACCACATTGCTGGTGACATGGATATTTAACCTAGTTTCAAGTTTTAAGTTTCAATCCTAATCTTGTTGAATAGATTGCCTCAGTGTTGGAGACACATAGCTCCAGAACCTTATTATGACAAAATTGCAACCACCAATTTCAGCCCACAATTCAACTAGTTTATAGTAATCTTCCTGCCTCTGATTCAAAGTATAGAGTAATAGAGTAGAAATAGACACTTCTAGAGACCTCAGCCTGCCAGATAATACGCTGTTAGTTTCCATGTAAGCTGATGGTATAATGACTTAGAACTATGCTCTAAGACAGTGGTGGTGGACAGCACAGGTGCCAGAGGCGGCACTCAGAGCCCTTTCTGTGGGCACGCAGGCCGTCGCCCCAGTCCTAGGCCTTCAGCTGGGTTTTATAAAACCTTTTCGCTTTAGGCCTCCACCGCCGTGTGCAAAAAAAAAAAAAAGGTTCAATCAATCAATTTCAACTTCTCACTGGAAAAAAAAAGATCTTGCAAAGTTGGAATTGATTGATTGAACTTTTTAGTCCCACCCAGTCTGCCATTACCACCGCAGCCATGCCCACCCAATGGGCCATGCCCACCCGGCACCCCACGATGCATAAGTGGGTTTTGGGTTGCAGTTTGGGCACTTGATCTCTAAAAGGTTCGCCATCACTGCTCTAAGACATTACAGTATAAGACATTACAGTGAATACATATCTGCTTACAACAGTTGGCAGGTGGGAATTATGTAGAGCATGTTGAACAGATTACAGAAGGCTAATATCTGTCAGGCCCACTTACCTACACTAGACCAGAAAATCATTCCCAAGAGAGACTAGGAGTATTATTGAATCAATTGGTGGTGGGAAGGGAAGAAGCAAATTTATTAAAGGCTTTACATATTCAAAATTAAGGATAACCAACATGTTAAATATTGGGGGGTCAGGCAAATTTAACCAGTATGGAGAACAAGACCTTGACTGATACGGAGAAAATTTATAATTTGGCAAAATGACTGCTGAAAAGGCTAATGGCCAGCACCAGGACTGTTGCTCTTTCATTTCAGCATCTCTAGTTCTTTCATCTCTGTATAAATTAAATTTGTGCAGAACCTCTCCAGATAAGTAGATGTTTTTGGACATTCTCTAACATTACAAATCTGGGGTGATACTAAACTGCATAGTTTTAAGTTAAAGACATACTGTACATTTTAGGTTAAAGACATACATGTAGGGATTAGTAGGGTTTCTTATGAACGCAGTAAGGTTTTTCTCTAGAAGTTTAGGAATGAATTACTAACACCTCCATTGAAATAATAGCAGCATGTAAAATAATCAGTGTTACAAATAATGCAGTATTCCAATGCACTAACCCATTTGCTTTTTCTTTAACTTCTCCTTTGACAACAATTGTTCGTCCAGGCTCAACAGAATAATTAAGTTTTGCTGAATAAGGAATTACCTGAAAATATAATCAAGCCCACAGTTACCTATGCCAAAATTAATAAGCTGTAGTTTATATATATCATGTATCTGAGTTTTCTAGTACTTACATATCACTTGAGGCATATAATAATTAAAACAAAGACAAGGCAATAATAATTAAGGAAAAAAAATAAAAAACAAGTGATTATTCACAATTATTACTCATTTACACATTTATGGCACTTCACTTTCAGAAATGATCTGAACAAGCCTATTTTCTACTTGGCTGTGACACACTTCCTCTAAACACCACTGAAGATGTCACCTAGCTTGGTAACGAAATGTTCAAAAACCAATCTACAAGCTCGTAGAACGAACCTTCACCCTCATCCTACACCTGAGCTACAGATATTTGCCACTATTGCAAATTCACTTGAATTTTTGAACAGCCAATTTTTTTATCACTAGAAATTTTCTGTGTCTTGATCAGAGTGCTGGAAATTTTTTTCTTCACTAATAGGCTCCACAGCCTGAAAAAGTTTGAAAATCCGTGGTTTACATCTTAAAAGTACTGAAGGAACTAGCAGAGGCATTTGTAGAACTGTAATATTCAAGAATTAAAGGACTGGTAAATATCAGAATGTTGATGGAGAGTAAGTGTTGTCCCCATCTTCAAAAAGAGGACAGGATACTATAGACCAGTGTTTCCCAAACTTGACAATTTTAAGGCATGAGGACTTCAACTCCCAGAATTCCATAGCCAGCAACGCTGGCTGTGGAATTCTGGGAGTTGAAGTTCTCATGCCTTAAAATTGTCAAGTTTGGGAAACACTGCTATAGACCTCTCAACTTCCAATCTGCAATAATTGGTTCAAGGATCGTGCCCAAGGGAGAGCAGATCTGGGAATGTTTGGATGGGAAAGCAACAATTTACCAAGAGTCTAACTGGGTCTATCATAAACAAATTAAATTTATCTCTTTTTCAACAAGAGGGGGAAAACCATAGATATAATATACCCTGACTTCAATAAAGCACTACACAAATTCTCTCTTGTGATCCTCAATAAAGAAATAGTAAAATGCAACTTAGATGTGCAATTGTTAGATAGTTTTGTAACTGGTCAAATGACCACACAAGAGAATATTCATAAATAATTCCACATTAGCTTGGAAAGTAGAATTGAACAGAAGGCCAGAAGGCCCTATCTTGAGTCCTGTGCTATTCAACATTTTCATTAATGACCTAGGTCAGTGGTTCTCAACCTGTGGGTCGGGACCCCATTTGGGGTCAAACGACCATTTCACGGGGGTCGCCAAACCACGCTGTCCGCCATTTTTTTCCCTTTTCCCTAGCTGTCCTACTCCCTCTTATTGGTGGCCACACCCACTTGGGGGTCACCACAACATGGGGAACTGTATTATGGGGTCACAGCATTAGAAAGGTTGAGAAC